ACCAAAATTTTAAGGTAGTTTTATACATATATTTACTTCAAAAATCAAAAGAAAAGTTAATCGATGGAGCCTTGAGTGTAAAATTGAACGCATTTTCGCTTGATGCCCTCCATCATAGTCTTTACAGTGTCATCCGGTACCAGTTTCTCAGTTTTTTTTTTTTCCATTTTCTTAACATGTCCTTCTCGTCTTTGACTGTCTTCTTGCTCTTCCGAACTTCCCGCTTCATTATTGCCCAGTACTGCTCCACCGGGAGCAGCTCCGGACAGTTTGGCGGATTCATGTCCTTTGGAACAAAATGGACAGAATTGGCCTCATACCACTCCAGGATACTTTTAGAATAGTGGCATGATGCCAAATCTGGCCAAAATAGCGGAGCTGCGTCGTGCTGCTGCAAGAACGGCAAAAGGCGCTTCTCGAGGCACTCAGATTTGTAGATCTCGCCATTTACTGTGCCCTTTGTCACGAAAGGCTCAGTCCGCAAGAGCAGATGGCCTGCCAAATGAGATATTTGGAGGCGAACTTCGACATTTTCTTCTTCTTAAATTTGTCGTCCACATCGAACTTGCTCTTGCCGGTGAAAAACTCCAACCCCGGAATTTGCTTAAAATCGGCTTTTATATACGTTTCGTCGTCCATCACAAGCAGCCATATTTTGTCAGCATCTTCTCGTAGAGCTTCCGTGCCCGAGTTTTAGCCGTCGATTGTTGCCGCTCATCGCGGTTTGGGAAGTTCTGTACCTTGTATGTATGTAGTCCAGCTCTCTTCTTTGCATTCTGGACCTAGCTCTGCGACATGCCGATCTTTTTAGCCAAATCACGGCTTGAGACGTTGGGATTTGCTTTAATCATCCGCTTCACCTTTCCCTCCGTCTTTTTGTTCTCCGGTCCCGGTTTTCTTCCAGCTCCTTTGCCGTGGTCCAACGTCAACCGCTCCTGGAACCGCTTCAACACTCTGGAGACGGTTGAATGGTGAATGTTCAACATTTTTCCCGACTGCCGGTGCGACAGGTCAGGAAATTCCAGGTGTTTGGAAAGAATTTGTTCTCTCAACTCGCGTTGGTTCACCTCGATTTTCGTTGAATCGAAAAACACGACTTCGAGTTTGACAGCATGTACACAATACACATCAATGAGAAAGTGTGCAAAATTTGGTTGATTTTTACCCAATGGTAAAAAAGTTATGCCCTGTTGAATGTGTCGCAATAATTTCGTGTTCGCCCTTTATATGACAATGAAAGTTCTTCGGCTTAGAGTTTCCGAAGGCTTACAATGTACTTTTAAGTGCACGGCGACCGAAAACATTACACGTGGACCTTAAGGACCGCATTATTCATTATTCATGATTCTTCCTCAAATCAGTACCGAATTCAGTATTGGCAACAAAGGAAGAGAAACTTGTTCACCATGATGCGACAATTGGGAAAGCCTACGATGTTCCTCACACTCAGTGCAAGTGAGATGAAGTGGCCCATTTGTTGAATCTCTTACATCGGTTGTCAGAACGACACAATGGCAATGACTTAACAGATCCCATCCAGGAATTGACTGCACTACAAAGAGCAACTCTGATGAATGATGATCCAGTCACGTGCTGCGTGTACTTCAACAAGCTGGTTGACGCGATTGAATTTCAGCACCGTGGAAGTCCTCACGCGCACATCTTGCTATGGCTGAACAAGGATCCCCGGGAAGCAATCAGTAAAAGTATGCCGAACACTACAGGTGCAACAGTATCATGCTATTTATGCCAGTACTACTATCGGCCCTTTTCAGGGCCACCAAGATTTCCCAAAAGAGCTAAATTTCTGAACATGTCCCAACTTAAATTCATATGAAAAGCTTCTTTTCAGGGCAATCATATTCATACTAAAGAGTATAAACAGAGAGAACCCCACTCAAATTCCTATTCCTACACAAAACACAAGTTCTGCTGCAGTTAACAAATAACATTTTTTATATAGAGACTACGTAGTCCGACGTCACCATTCGTACAACCCCAGAGGGCTGTCCCTAGTATTTTTTGTTTTCAAAAGTTCTTTAATCGATTTACCATTTAACGTAAAGTATCACATTAGACCTAAAAAAAATAACAGCTTCGACCAAAAAAAATCCGTAGAAATCCGTAGATTTGAATAAGTATACGGAATTGCATAGAAAAAAAATCTGGCATCTCTGTGGTACCTCTATATATGCATTTAGATTAGCATTAGAAGTCCCTTCTTTTTACGTATTCTGCACAAAAGATACTTTCTGCCTCGCCTCATTCATAAAAATCTACGGGAAATTTTGTGAGGGGTAAGCTATTTTGTGTGCAGAATGTGTAAAAAAGAAGGGACTTCGAATATTGATCTAAATGCATATAGGTACCAGCCATATTTTACACTGCAGAGTCATCTGTGAACAATTATCGGAAAACATATTCTGCGTAGTTTCCAATGTCACCGCAACTGCAGTGACATCTGATGGAACATGAATGCAGAAGCTTGACAAAATGATTAATTGCCATAACCACGACATGAGGAAAAAAAAACAATACGGAAGCAAATCTTAAATTAAAAAATTTGAATAAATCTTAGGATAAATTTCAATGGCAGTCAGTGAGAACTGCATGTCACTGGAACTCAACGATCTGCACATTGAAGTAAGTGTCACCAATAACCACATCAAGGCTCCCGGACTAAGGTTCACTCTGCGTATCCTGACACGCTTTTAGATTAAAATTGTCCGAATTGAAGACTTTAACCTAATCCCATCAGATTCAACCCGCCTGCCGGAAGGAATACTGCTTGGTTTTGCATTTCCATATCTGAAAACTTGGGGACAAACAACGACTGCTGCGTTTACCAACAGGGAAAGTTTCCATACGTGCAAAAAAGTGGAGGAATCATTTGTAATAAATCTAACTCAAGGCAAATACAATTTCTGCTCATTTCTACGATCTTGACCATTCAAAAACATTCACTCAGGAGTCATATCTTAGGCTTGGCTTTGTCTCGGTACGTTTTTAACCAAGCGTTCTGATTTTCTGCGAGTGCTTAGTTCTCCATTGGCACTACTCACATGCAAAAAAATAGACCGACTGGTTGAAACCACGCCGAGAAAAAGCGGTGGGTGCAACTCAGTGGGTAACGCGTTCCTCGGGGGAAAGCTGTATATTAATTTATTAGATGACTTTGTTTCAAAATCAGCGTGATTTCATTGCACCTATTAGCAATGGAAGATCTGCTTGGTTGAAATAATCACTACGGCCAAAAACTGGAGCACCTCTAAGGCCAATAAGGAACAACTGATGCCAAAACTGGAACGGGAGCTTGAAGTTTAAAATCAACGATTATGATTATTGTCATGCAAAATTAATAGACCTAAAACCGTTTTATAATTCAGAATACATCAAACATCAATTTTAATGTATTAGTTGCCGTGTTGTGCGGGGGCTTCTGTTTTTTAAAATGAGAAATCTAAATATGCTGACTAGCTAGTGTCAAAACTAGCTCGTTCTTTAAGAATATTAACCTTAGATTGTTAGTTTGACTAACCTTGTGTTTAGTTTTTGTTTTGTTCGTGTGGGTTTTTTTTAATGTTTGTTTCTGTAATAATTGTATAATTACACTGTGGATACCAAATTGAATATTAATAAGTTCGTGTTTTAGGAATAATGAAATATTTCTATCGTAAATCATAACTCAAACCTCCTCCTCTCTCTCCCCATCCATAGAACTGTAAATCTCTACTAACCTCGAGATGACCGCGAGTAATCGGTTCAGTTCCTTTAACGCTAGCTTTAAGACATCAATTATGTATAACGCAAATGATAACTTGGCTCTGTAAAGTTTATTCGATAAATTTATTAATAAAAAAAAAACTAGCTCTAAGTCTAAATAATCATTTTCCGAAGTTGACTACATATTTTAAACATTTTACGATATTCACCAAATGTTCGTTCTGCTTCAGTGCAACTCCAATGTCAAAATGAAAAACCTTTGCAATCTGACTTGCTGCCAAAACTGACGTTTCCTCTTAGGTTTCTTAACTGCAAATTGCATTTTCCCTCTGTATAACCCGTATCTCGGCCGATAAATTAACCCTATTTGTTACTGCCCTTATTGTTCAGATCCACCAATGCAATGCATTGCGGAATCATTAAATTGAGAAATATATCCCGCGAACGGTATTAATTTAAGTAATTTTTGAACCCCAATTGTACGGCCGATTGTTGGCACCGAACATAAGTTCAGGGCGTTGAGAGGTAGCAAAGATCCCCACTGCGCTTTAGTGTGTCCCCTGCCAAACCAGGGATGTTTTGATTACTGCAATAGAAGTTGAATGCAGGCGCCTCGTTGGCGAATGGGGTGGTTTATCCTTTTCAGCATGATTTTTTTTTTGCTCGCCCTTTCTTTACTTTGGTCCAACTTATCGCAATCATCTTGAAACATTCTTCGACTTACGCATCCGATTTACACTGCGGCATTGGCAGTAGTAGCAGAAGCAGCACGGAATGGATTATTTAGGTATGCGCCCGTTCTGCAGCCCCGCCATTTTCAACTGCTCACTGCGGAAAAGTTTATTGCTTTGTGAAAAATCCGAGCTTTTTTTCCCTCCTTTATTGTTCCACTTTCTCAACCCTGAAGCTTCCGAACAGTCTTGAGGCTGGGACCGGTGGAAAAGTTTCCTCCGAACTCGGCCCCGAGAACCGGAAATGCAATCTTTCCGCTGGCCCATTCTTTACCGGTCGAGGTTGGAGGTTTTCCCCATGCTGCCCTTCGTTTGCGATTTCCGTTCTATTCTCGCGTGAATATCCCACTTTGGCTGCAAGGCAAAAGTGAGAATTCCTCCGCTGCACCTGAACCGCTGTTTGACCGCTCGCTTCTCCACCACCAAAGCACTGTTTGCACCAAATGTTGATCTACTAAAAATTCTTTCCCTCTCTCTCTCTCTTCTATCTTCCATGCTGCAGCGAATTCAAGAAAAACTATGGAACCAGTGCCAATGCCGCCGATGAACCACGGACACCACCGCCACCGTTGCAGCAGCAGAGATCGGTTATCTACTGCGTGCACGGAAAGTTGGCACAGTCATGCTGCGAGCTGGAGGACGATGTTAGCATTAGGAGAATTGAGTGTAAGTTGGTTTTCTTTATTGTTGTAGTTTAAGTTGGAGCGGGATGATGATGTTTGCTCTGTTTGGTGTGTTTTTTAATTATTGGATTATGCCAGTCGGTAGCAAATTTTCGCACTAAAAAGTTGTAACATTGAGTTTTCTGACTCGTTTTAATGCAGCATTAAATAAGTAAAAGTGCTGCGGGATACCATCCCAGACAAGGCGGGTTCGATTCCTGGCCCGGTTTTTTGAGTTTTTGGGGTGGAAATATTCTTGCCTACTCTGAGCACATGCTGTCATTGTGCTTTAAACTAATGGCACAGGATTAGAAACCTCTCAATTGACATCTGAGGAAGTGCTTGACTTGAGGGCACGTGAAAAGTTTCACATGGAACGTATTAGCCATATAAAATAAGATTTTAAAAGGTGTCCAATGGTCCAACCTTAGGTAAACAGCGTACAGTAATTACCGTAAAGTCTCGGAAATCTCGAAAACCGGTGTTATTGATGATCTGGATTAGGTTGCTACCAATATTTTTTTTTAACTAAATAACAATACACCGATGCCGAAGTATGGCTAAAAATTCCGTTTCGGTTAAACGACGATCGACCTAGTTATCCATACGGTATAATAGCGTTCGGTAAAAAGGTGTTCAGCTAAGTTAAAAAGTTGCTAGAATGATTAAAGGAGTCAACTTGTTGCACACATTAGATACAATTTTAGAACTTGTTGTGAAAGACCAGCGGTAGGAGTATTTAAGAAGTAATAGTTTGTTGATACCAAAACATTCGGGATATCGAGAAGGTCATTCTTGTGAAACAGCGTTGAATTTGATATAAATGAAATGGAAAGATAGCTCGGAGTGTGAAGATACGATTGTTGCTGTATTTGGGATATAAAACGCGCTTTTGAAACAATCTCTAGGCCTTTATTGTGACAATCAATCAAGCGCTTTGGAGTTACGAGTACTGCATATAAATGGTTTGACAGCTATTTGTGGTTGGAATTTCAATACCGGGTGGTTTCTATAATAGCGGTATTTCGATATTGAAAATATAATACCGATAAAATACCGGTATTTTGAGATTTTATGTATTATTAGCGCAAAGAAATGGTTGCGTTTATTTCAAAAACAGAAAATTAACATTTTACCTTTTGTTCAGGAAATAGTCTTTCCAAATACAGAACATGTTAAGAGAATCGTCGCTCAAAGTTGTACGGAGAAAGCTTGTTCTGAATTGACTGACATCTGAATTGCATCATATAGCAGCTGTCCCTCTACCTAATAAAAACTAAATTCAAGCCTAATAGTCTTCATTAGTCTGCTTACTCCACTTGAAATAGCATGGGATAGTTCCTGATGAATGTGGGCGTCTTAGTGGAATACCTGTATAATGAGAGAGAGAAGGATTAGAATTTTCCTTGAGGACGATTCCCTGATGACTAGAAGATCGAGAAATGCGAGTTTCCCGTCTTTTTCTACCTCGTGAGTGAATTTGATATCCTTATGTTAAAACAATTCGGATTAGATTTAGTTTTCACCAGTAGACATAACCAGTTGAAATCATTGTTAGGATCCACTAAAGACCCAGTTAATGTTTTAGGTAAAGCAGGTGTGTATAAAATAAGCTGTAATCATTGTAACAAAGTATATGTAGGACAAACCAAGAGAACTTTAGCAACTAGATTTAAAGAACATATAGCGGAGGTTAATGAGGCCAAAAACAAGAAGAAAAAGGCCTAACATATGATTTCAAATCAAAGGTTGCAGAACACATCTTCACAGAGGACCACCAACTATCGACGGAGGACATAACGATTTTACGAACCGTATCTACACCATGGAAATTGGATGTTGCAGAAAGCCTCGAGATCAACAAACAACGTAATTCAACTTTACTCAACAGGGATCAAGGAAACGGACACACATGGCTTTTCAAGTTACTACCTAGGACACATCAACGAGTAAGCAGCGGAGTACCTGTTCCTATAGAAAATTAAATTTAAGTTTACCTAGTTTCTAAGTGAAAATGTACCTGTGTTAATAGGGGAATTTACGTATTCTCGGCAACCTAAGCAGCGACGTTCTTTCTATAGTCTTTTTCTCTATGAAACGCACACATATGCAGTATTGGTTTGTTTACAATCTTTTGTTGCCAGCTGCTCTAACAATTTCAGTCGAAAGAATTGTCAAAAACTGTTTTGAAACGCTTTTACAAAGCTCCAATCTTCTCTAGTGAGAGCGAGTATTGTCGGCAACCAGTTTTTCTTCGGCAACCGTTCCATTTGGACTGCATGTAAATCTGCTGTTCTATCATCGGCAACTCGAAATCAGCTACAATTTGTAGTGCGTGTGTTGCATTTCAAGAAAACCTTACTAAATTGCTTTTTCTCAGTGGTAAAAATATAGTCAAATTGAAGCTGAAAGCATAAATAATCGTTTGTATGCATTCATCGAAGTGTTTTCGTAAGAAAATCCAGTGGAAATAATGTTTCAATTTGGGTTGCCGAAAATAGTCTGTCATGCCGAAGCCGTCATTTCCCCTATATATTCGGTAAATGCGATGTTTTTCTTCAGTCGAGTATTAGTACAAGACACTGAAAAAGTCTGCACATTGTAGACGAAATACGCGTATCTGTCAAGAATAAGCAAATAAGGTTGTGAAATTAAATGGAAAATACTAATCCTTCTCTCTCTCTCATTATTTATGGGATAGTTGTTGTACAAAGCGAGATTGTTGCAACCGATGATTGCATTTATCTTCCATGGTTAAAGTTTCCGTTTCCGTTTCATCAGCATTATCCGTTTCCGGTTCTTCAAATCGTCTCTCAGCAACTCGATCAATCAGTGCAGCACACAGCTTTCTTGAAATGTCCATTACGGGTTACTTGCATTGGTTCAAAAGCACTACCAATGTCCTTGATGTTCTTCATTCATGTACCTGTTAGACGTACGTTCGTCGAAAGTAATATGCAAATCGTTTGCAGTATTCTTTGACCACATCTTCAAGAAAAAATCTAACCCTAGCAAGAACCCTATTCTGACTTTTGGGGAGATTGGTAAAGTCACGTGCCGTGAGGCTTCCCTTCTTTTGTACACAGCGTCAACAGAATTAGATATTCTAAAATATTATGTGATTGTGGTATTTTTCTGAGGTTGCGATTCAGCCTTAAAATACGATGCTGTTCTTTTTGCCAAATTGATGTTGTGTTGACACCGAAGATGGGTTATCATACCACTTGTGCTAGAACCATCTCATTTTAAGATTTTTTTTTTGCAAATCGAACATTTGGCAAGTGCTTGGTTTTGTTTACCATGGAAAAATTTGTACCAAACCGCCTTCCTTGGTTTTTGTTCCAAAGTCCATTACGAAATAAAATCTTGCACGGTCTCACTGTAGCGGTGGTTTACTTGACTATGCTATGACGCATTCATGGCTATGTTGTGGTATTGTACTCTCAGTTCTAATGCACACATATGTAAGCATCTGAGAGCAAAACTGAAATCTTTTATGAAGTAACGAAATTGGGTTGTTAGCGGAATGCTTAAATAAAACAGCAAAAGAGGTTGTCTTCCATTTTATTCCAATTGAATAATTTTGGTATCCATGACAGATTTCGAGGACAATGGGCAGTCGTCATCAGTGTTGACTTTAAATGATCTATGTTTCTTGAATTTGTGTGGTTTACATGTATAACTTATCAAGTGACACAGATGCGTCTTTTCAACTTAAGTTCTTTTGAATTTCAATTATTATTAATTACAGTTCCTAGTCCTATCAGGCCTGTTTTAGAGAATGACCACCTTGGTGGAATTGGTTTGTTTTAAATTGAATAAGAAAACTACTATTTACAACTACAACTACAATATACACCTAAACTACTATATACAAATTACTTATCAAAGTATGTTCTGATAAATTACATTTTTGTGCAAATTTAGACTTAATTTTGTTAATTCTGGAATCTATTTTGGCAATGCCTGCCTCTTCGTGTAAATTTGTTATTCTAGTGTCGAAAGGACTATCAAATACTATCCTCAGCACTCTATTCTGAGCGGCCTGGATTTTGTTCCTGTGAGTCTGTGCACATGATTCCCACACCGGCGCTGCGTAGAGGATCGCAGGCGCTATGATTTGTTTGTAGACAGCCAGTTTGTTCACCCTTGAGAGGTGGGATCTGCGGTAAATCAGCGGATACAGACACCTAACCAAGGTGGAACACTTGACTACAGTTTTCTCTACATGCGAACGGAAGAGGAGCTTTTTCATCGAACAACATCCCGAGATAGGTTACTTCGGCAGACCACTCAACCCTTGTGCCATCCATTATTACAGTACAAGAGGGAGCCGGTTTTAGTTTGGGCGATTGCCGATGGAGGAACATGATTGCTTTAGTTTTGGAGGGATTGATTTTGATCCACGTGGTGGCAAAGGCGTTAAGCTATCGTTGAAGTTTGTTCGTTATTTCGCGAGGCATCCTTCCTTTGACGGCTATTGCGGTATCATCTGCGAACAGGAAAAACACGCAACCGTCACCGAGGGGAGGAATGTCGGAAGTGTAGATGCTGTAAAGCAACGGGCCCAACAGATTGCCTTGCTGGAATGGAAAACGTGTCTGAAAGACAACCATTCAACGATACCTTAAACGACCTTTGCTGGAGGTAGCTACGGGTGATTTTAATAAGATGTAAAGGAAAGTTGAAGTCACAAAGCTTGTACACAAGTCCATCATGCCAAACATTGTCAAACGCCTTTTCAACGTCTAACAAGGCCATATCTGTTGACTTGGATACAGCTGTGTTACTTCGGATGTTATTCATCACCCGTACTAGCTGATGATTGGTGGAGTGCCCCTTTCTGAATCCAAACTGTTCCGGAAGGAGAATGTTATTTTCCTCGACAAACTTGAGCAAACGATTGAGAATGAGTTTCTCGAACAATTTGCTCAGCGCTGAAAGGAGGCTGATGGGTCTGTAGCTTGAAGGCAATGTTGGATCCTTACCGGGTTTGCGGATTGG